CAGCATATACCCCCTCCCCTCCCCCCAAGCATACACAACAATGCAAATAAAATCCAATTTTAAAGGGTGGGGTGGGTAAGTCGATCAGATTCTGTCACCAAATTTGCCTCCAAATGTTGAATTTATATTATCCGGAATTCGTAATTTCATTGAGGTACTCTAGTAAATAATTGCCATTTCTGAACTTTAAATCACAGTGAACGATAAGACTTGAAAGTCCGCGTATACATTAAAACCACGCTACTAGAAATATGCATGCCAATTCTATCAAAACACAGTCAAGAATCAAGTGAATTAAACATCTTTAACAGAGCGATCTGAATTGATAACAGAGAAGGAAAGTGTAAATGAATTAATTTTTTTGACTAGATCCAACAAGCAAAGGCATTGGTTATGTTGTACAATCAAGCAATGGAGTTGAAGTTCCCAATAAGAAAACAACTTCTCGAGTAAATTTAACTTACAAAAGTTCGCATTACAATCAGATTACTTTTCTCTCAAGTACTTATAACGAACATTTACTCACCTAATAACAAACCAGTCGCCATTTTCAAGGCTTTCCCACAAAGACAAAGAAGTATTCAGCTGGATTTTACAGTGGTTTCATGAGTATTGCTTCGTGGGTCGATGAACTGTGAAGTTTTCAAGCTCTAGAAACAACGCGAAACCATATACGGTAACGACCAAAAACCAACCCGATATCTCAAAATGATGGAGAGGAAGAATGAACCAAGATAATACTATTGTTCAAAGAGCGATCGGGGACGAAATATTAATTTCAAAATGCATCTAAACTTTCATAACAACATTGAGAATGTTTTGAATTCCAAGGGAAACCGCGACTCGAAGAACGCCCATGGGGGAAACCGCTGGGTGTGAATCAGAAAAAACTCATTAATTCAGCTGTTTTCAAACTTCTGAAAAGCTAAAGAAAAGAAACCACTAGAAATAGAAGATAAAGAACTAAAAGAAGAAGAATAAATGAGATGAAAAGGGAAAAAATGTAATGCAATAATGAGTATATCTTCAAAAGCGTCCGTGCACATATTATTATATTTTTCAATTTCGGCTACCTTTTTTATTCATTTCTACTTCATATCGGTTAAAGAAAAATAATATATTTAGTAAACCGCTTAGATTCATATTAAAATAATATTTTTGACACAATTTTTGAATAAATTTTGTAAAAAAAAAAAGTTAAAATCCCATGATTCCTCGCGCGCCCGAGAGACGATTTCCCGGATGTAGTGGTTCTCTCTCTTCCTCTATCACTGTTGGCTGTGCAACTAACAGTTGGTAAAAATTGGTAGGGTTGAAAAATACTCATCCACACAGCCATCAGATAATAATCTAACTCAATCCGTACTCCACGATGCCTCCTAAGTTCGACCCCAATGAGATTAAGATCGGTAAGTTGGTAAAGTTGAGAAAAAATCGATGTTTTTTCGAGGATACTATGAATGGATGGTTCAACTTTCACGTGTAATTTTTTAGTCTATCTGAGATGTACTGGAGGTGAAGTTGGAGCCACGGCTTCTCTTGCCCCAAAGATTGGTCCTCTTGGATTGGTAAGTTTTCAAGAATCCTCAACTGTTGTTAAAATTGCTCGTTTATTATATAGTTATGGAAAATGATTGGGAAATCTTTTCTTACTCAATCGTAGTACTTTTGGATTCGAAAATAAACTTGTGTAAAAAACTGAAGTTACCCATTTTCATAAATTTATCAAAGTATTTAAAATTGGGCTACTAAGCTATACAAGAATCTTTCTTTTTTAAAAAAACCTCAGTCGGATCTTAGAATTTTTCCCGTCATTTGTATATGCATCTTGAGGGGGAGGGGAGAGGGGGGGATTGTTGGAGCCCTCAAATTTGGGCCCTTATGAACACAACGTCAGATATAAACAACCTATTGTTTGGTTGAAGGGGAATGAATTTCTATAGTTTATTGAAATTAATGGATGACCATCATTTTAGTCCCCCAAAAAAGTTGGTGATGACATTGCAAATGGTACCAAGGACTGGAAGGGTCTGAGAATCACCGTCCAACTGACCATCCAAAACAGACAAGCCAAGGTATCTGTTATCCCTAGTGCATCTTCACTGATCATCAAGGCTTTGAAAGAACCACCAAGGGACCGCAAGAAGGTTAAGAACAGTAAGTAAATCAGCAATAGTAAAACCCACTATTACAGTTGGTGCACATGAACCCTTTGACAATTCTTTCAGTACTGGTTCTGCATAAAATAAATAGTTGAATGGTAAAATATTTTTTGATTTGAGTGATGCGTATCTAAGTTATGAAGGTTTATACTTCCAATGTTTGATCAGAATAGGCACATGCTCGTCCTCTTGGGCCAGTCATGTCCAGCCATTGAGCATTTGTCATCTTAATTCCCGAGTTTCCTAATCCTCTCTTCTTTACAGTCAAACACAATGGAAACATCACCATGGAACAGGTAATTGACATTGCCAAGACCATGCGTCCACGCTCCATGGCAAGAAAGCTTTCTGGCACAGTAAAGGAGRTCCTCGGCACATGTCAATCAGTTGGTTGTACAATTGATAGACAGGCTCCTCATGATGTTATTGATAAGATCAATGATGGGGAAATAGAAATTGAGGTAGGGTTTTTGTTGACATTAACCTTCAAAAACTACATCAACTGCAGTTTTCAATACTGTGCAAACTCCATTTCTTATTTACAATTTCTTTTTCTTTTTTCAGGACACTGAATAAAGACCAAGGTGTAAAAATAAATGATCATTTCCTTGTAGAAAGCCTTCATGTGTTTTTTCAATTTTTGGGGGAAAGGGTGGAGGCAAATGGGATCATTTTTCTTTTCCATCCAAACYAACTGCTATGGGCCTTTCTCACATGGCAACCATCAAGGTTTGTTCAGGTTCTTGAAGTCCTTGAAATGCCCTTGAATTTATGATCCAAATTCTAGAAAAGTCCTTGATCTTATTATTGGGAATCCAGCACAAACACAGCACCATGTTGACTGAAACAATAGAAATTTTTAACACAATTTGTTACTGCAATTTTCAGAATGAGAGAATTCTGTCTGCAAGCTGTACGCAGAGTTCACATGTTGATGAAAATTGCAGTAATCACTCGCTCCCTCATTGGTTAATTTTCATTATCTATAAGAGGACAGACCAATAAGCTGACGTCAACGAGCTCATGCTCTTTTCATTGGTCTTTTTGATTGCACATGCTGATTGGTCAAAACTGTGCTTTATTAGTGAACAGAGCACAGCGCTGACGCCATCTGCGTTTGTGAGGTGCTGCTAGATCCTGCAACCGTTTTTCTTTTTGTGTAAATAAATTCAGTACTGAAATAAAATTAATAACTATGTAATAAAACAAAAAAGCTTTTTCTGTGCTCTGTTCAGTAATAAAGCACTTAGGAAGTGCCATAAGCACTCGCCTATGGCTCTTTCTCCTTACACCCCTTTCGTGCTTTCCCTTCTTTCATGCTTATGCCACTTCCCGCATGCTTTGTTAAATACATTCAGATCCATCATATCTGTTTAAAGTGCACGCACTAAACCCGTGAAACAAATACTAACTTTTAGTACTAAATGGTGATAAATAAACAATAGAAAACAAAGGATTCCGTATGAAATAGCACTCTAATAACGTAGAGATTTGAGGAAGAATACTCCCAACAGCCCTGTGCATAAAAAACAACTCTATTTTAAATTGACAATTTTTTTATTCAGTTCTAGTAACTACACAATTCAATCAGTTGTATTTTTCAGTTTTATTGAAATCGCTTCTCAAGGCCACTGAAACATACATACTGTTCTTAGTATCTTGTCTAGTACAACCATACAAAGTGCAATGAATGGGACCAGACTTGTTCTTTCTTCTGCTGAGTGCAATGCATGAAGCTATCAGCTTAAATTGCTTTCTACACTTAGTATGGTATAACGTTTCTCTTGGAGCTATTTTTCTGTAACCTAACAACTTCCAAATTTTTAGGGCTTTTTTGATTAAGAAATCAATTTTGAAACCAACAAGTGCCTATTAAACTTGGGTAATAAAGGTTTAGTGAGAGATCAAAAAGTTTTGTGTACTGTAACTTATCTTGATCATTGACAAAAAGTCTTCCTAAATAAAATGTAGCTAAACTCAAGATAAATTCAAACTCCAGATTCAGCACAGAAAATATAAGAATGAAATTACAAAATATAGAATGAACGAAGACAGCCTAGTGCAATGCTGCCATGATATTTACAATACATAAAATGTACAATATCAATGGCTAAGTGCAATGCCATCAAAAACAATACTCCAATGCTTGTGTTACTTCTTAGCAAAAGAGATAGTCATCGCATGAGATGGTGTTATTCGGAATCCTTGGAGAGCATCTTTAGCGGTTCCTGCTTGTACTTCGTTTTCGAACTCTACAAAGGTGATATCTGATCGACCAGGGACAAGACGTACTTCTTTAAAACCAGGAAATCTGAAGAAAAAATCATTTGATTTCATTTTCAGTTTGATTACACCTTTTATAACTAATTCAATAATCAACAACCTTCAAATAATAAGTGATATTTGCAATGGCTGATACTCGCTCGAAACCTCTCGCTCTATACTGCATGTGGAGTTGCTTCTGACATTGCATGGGAAAAATTGAAATGTCAATATTTTTTGGTTCTCTCCTGTGTTTTCTGGTGTTTTGATTGCCATCAGTCACATGTATTGACAATGTTCTAAGTTGGTGATATTTTGATTGACAGAAGTCAAACACCATTAACATTGTGTAGGTCATAGTCAATTGAAAAACTCTTATACCTGCAACAGTTCTACATACAATTTTTTTCTAAAACATAAGTAGTAACTTACTGGTTAAACAACATGGACAACATCATTTCTGTTGTTTCTTGTGGTAAGTTGGTCAAGAATAAGATGTTATTTGGAACGTCAGGTGCTTGCTGTTGCATCATACCAATTGGAGGCTGTCCCATAGGTGCCACTAGGAGTAGATAAAATATCAAACTATAAGTATTTATTGATGAAAATATTGTCAATAAAACAGTGATAGATGCCCATACAGATTGGACTTATTTGCGGCATATGTTACATAGAAAGTTCTCCTACTAAGGCAGGAAATAGTAATTGAAATGCCATACCATTAGGAGCCATAACAGGCTGTCCAGGCATTATTCCAGGAAYGACTTGTGGTACTGCTGCTATTTGCTGAGGTACCGCTTGGGCCTTCTTGGCAGGACGAGCTGGTGCAGCTGTTAAAATTAATATACATTAGAAATGAAAGACTAATAATATAAAAGACAAATATGTAAACTGTAATGTAAGATAATTAATTGGGGGGGGGGAATGGATTTTGTCACCTTTAGAAATTCTAGGAAGTACAACCACGACTCAAAATCCCTAGATAAATAAATGACAATCAAGCAGATGTCATGAAAATAGAAGCTACTGTAATGAGGAATGTTTTGTTATTGTCATCCAACATGGTGACTATGACATAACATGCACCCCAAAAATGAGACCTAGAAAATTTCAATCCCTCTACATGGGTAAGCACAGATATTTTTTGAAACTTTAAAATATACCCTACTCAGACCCTTGGAAATTGCAATACACTAAATACYCTCCTCAGACCTTCCCAATCCCTAAGAAATTCCAATCTTTCTCCATCTGGGAGGTATGGAGTTCTGTCTTACTCTTTGGAAAATGCTATCTCCCTTTCTCAGACCCTCCCCAACCCTTAAAAAAATTCATTTGAAGAGATGGTAAGAGTATTTTTTAACCATACTTTTTATTAAACTACACAATGTGCCCTTTTCCAACATCCCCACCCTTGTGTACGCTATGAGAAAGAAAGTGAATGTGGGAATAACATCTTTCCTTACCTTCAGGTGCTTTTCTTTTCTCCTTTGGTTTTTTCTCTCTTGGTACAAAGGTTCCTTCTAACTTGGCCACTGCATCTGATTTACTTTTAGCATACTGTATTCTCTACAATAGAAAACATTATGTACAGTATTTACTTAATATATATCAAAGTAGTAATAATAAGTTTTAAGGTTCAAATGCATGATTTTTTAGAGGGATGCCATTTTGGATATGTTTTTGTTCATGTTCAAGCCAAAATTCCAGTTTCTGAGTTATAAAATTTCATTAAATTTACAGCAAAAATAACCTAGGGTACAGAAAGAAGATGCAATTTAAATAAATCAAAAATGTTCGACTCTTTTCTTCTCAACTAATATAATTTAGTGTATAATAAATGTCAAAATCTTAAAAATCTATTTTTTTTCATTCCTATTCCTAATTTTAGCCTTTTTTCTTATCCTTTTTTCAGTTTTAAAGTAAGTTCTAAAAGTTTAGAAAATCCTACCATCAAATTGTACATCATCTTGTGGTCGAGTGAAATAAAAAGGCTTGAAAAACCTTTTTCAAGAAAACAGCCTTGGTCAAAGWACAAAATAGCAATGTTTGAAAGGCAAGAAAAAGTGGGGGTTTTTTCACAAAGGAACTGCATATTCCTACCAAGAAGCAGATGGTCCATTTAATTCAATTCAAAAAAGAAAGACTCTTATTGGACGAGCAGTGAATATAATTTTGAAATCTCTTGACAAGTGAATTTTTCTATTAGTATGAAAAGTTATTAATATTTACACTACTCTAATCAAATGATTAGCAGAAAAAACTGTTCATATTTCTTTCTATTGAATCACTTTAGAAAGTAGAAAAGAATAAAAGCAATTATCAAAAAACAATCTTTTTTATTATTTTCAAAAATATATATACCTATACACCAATTAATATGACCTATCTCCTATTGCTTTTTGTCTATTGCCTATGGCCTTTGGTGATGACTGTCGATATTTTATTGAAATAGCTGTATATCATAAAGGACAAAATTCCTTCTGTGTTATCAATGACAGTTTGGCATTTAGTTAATACGAGGTACATTTAAYGAGGTACATTTAACATTTAATTACCAGAGAAACTTAGTTTTAACAAATTTGATAGACAAAGGCAAAACAACATGTAAACATGCATTGGGCAAAACATTAATTTATATGACTTCCTGAAATTTTCATTATCATGCACCATCTGTTTTTTTCCTTTTTCTAGGCAGTCAAAACAAAAGGCAAAAGGGGTTTTCATGTACTACTAAACTGGGTGTAGTTGGGGGAAGTGTCAACTATTTGGGGGGGGGGGAGAGGGGGGAGGGAAGGATTTTACATTGGGATAAGTTTTTGGAACAAAAAACATTGAACGGGTACCTCAATATTGGGTGATGATGGGTTATAAAGAGTGTTTTCATTAGAAGAATGTGATTACAGCCCTTCTCAATCACACGTGTGAAAAATATTTCTAACACGACAAAATAAGGTTTTGTCGGAAATCAACCTAAGTGTTTCCATGAAATTGCCAGAAAACACAAGGCTTTCAAGGGCAGATGCCTATGGAATTTTGTGAAAATGCCTTGATTGACGTCCACCAAAACCTACTTTGTCCGGACGGCAAATTGTACGATTTTCACGCATGTGATTGACAAGWGCTGTAAATCCACTATCAGTTTTATTCTTGTCACTGCTGCAGATCAATAGCAGTGGCAATCACTGATTGGTGGTAGAATAATACATGTGATTGTTCATTGTAATTTAAATGATTGACAGCTGTTGTAACAAATTATGTATATATGCATAGCTTCTGCAAGATGGTCAATATGGTACATTGTGATCTAGTTTGGGTATAATTGTTTTTATTATGTTTAATATAGTGTGGATTATACCCAGCTAGACAAAAATGAATTGTGTATTCTTGGGGTGCATGTGGCATCAAAGCCGCCTATTTAATAATAATAATAATGGGGTTCTTCTATAGCGCATTTCACAATGTCTCAATGTGCTTTACATTGCAGTGGAGGACTTAACTGGCTGCACTATTAGCAACCATGCAGCTTACAATCATGAGTGATTTGTTAGTACATTAGTGCTATACCTCCAAATTGACTATGATTATTTGGTTAAATTTGTCATGTTAACCAGCATGGCGACCATGTCTGTCCTTTTATTCTTATGGGAATGGAAGTGATGCACACCAAAAATATTTACCAAGATTCTAATTACTTACCATTGGCTTGTCATAAAAAGGGAATCCTTGCATAGATCTCAGTGCATTTGTAGCACTAGCTATATCCTTAAACACTACAAATGACTGGCCTCTCATTTTCAGGGTTTTGAGGGCTACAATGTCAAGAATGGGGCCAAATTGCGAGAAGATGGCGTAGAGAGACTTCTTCAACTCTGAAAATACACGTGGCAAAACCAAGCAACGATAAACACAGACTCGTTAGCAGCATTTTTACAGAATATTTTGAATGTAAAGAATACGTTTTCGATGTTCAACGTGCGAGACATGTCACAGGCATGTTTCAAACTTTTACTTAATATTCTACGATTTTCATTGTATTGGGCTGAATTTACCTTCTTTCTTGACTTTTTCATTTAGRTTGTTAATGTAGATAGTTTGACTTGGAGGATTGTCCATGATTGCGATTTATACACACCAATGGATACCAAATTTTCGATGGCCCTGAGTTATGCAGACGGTCACTCTCGAACCAAACGTAAACAATTCAAAATTCGAGCACAAATTTCAAATTTAAGCTAAAAAAAGTCCGTAGGAAGGATAAACAGGTATCTCACTTGCTTCTGCGATTTGGGTGAAGAACAGATTGCAAAAAATAATCGAGGATTAAACGAGATTGAAAAGCAAAACTTTCTCAAAAAAGCTTGCAGAAGCTTTTGCCATTACACTAGTGCCCATTCCTCCTTCTCGMGCGGTAACTCATTCATAACAAACTTAAATTTGGGCTTCCTGTGTTCATCACTGCCATCTATAAATCTAGTATGGGCTCCCTGTGTTTATGCTTAGTAAAATGATAACTCTTTCCCCAGCCCTTTTTTCCCTCAAAAATTACTCTAAGCATTCATCTTTTTTCATCTTTATTTAAATTTTTATTATACTTTATTATATGATAACGCACGCGCTGGTTGGCTGGTGTGTTTATATTAGATATATTAGATTATATTTTGTATTAGATATAATTTATAACAGAGACACGCTCGGGAAAACTGATTGTCCCATTGAAAATATTCTATAAATACTGTAATGTGATATTAGCACTCTGAGAGCTTTAGAGCAATCGAGAAGCAAGAGAAACACTCGGCTSCATCTCATATTCCTAAGTTTGCTTTTCTCGTGATCTCCACCTTCCAGCTGTTCCACCGTGTTAAAATATATCACAGTACAGCTAGAGACGTGCGCGCGCGTTTTAAATTCCCTAAATATTTTTTTCCAATTACCTACCTACTGTTTTGGTTAAGATATGGGATTAAAACTCATTCGACTGAATTTGTATGCACACCTCCATTTATGAGACACTAAGTTAGATCGTTGCTATAGAAACGGTTATTGCCATGGCACAGAAACATTAAGTGCCGAGTTTTTGACAGAACATGAAATATCTTCGTCTTTTGCTATTTTTGTAGTGAATAACTTTTTAATATATAAGGAGAGTGAACGATTGTGTTCTATTTCAGTTTTGAATCTTAGTGTACAGATCAGGCGAGTTGACTAAGCTGATCAGTCATGGCGTCTTTGCCCTTCTTTGCTGCCTTGGTTCTGATGGTTACCACGGTCAATCACGTTCTTCAAGGTAGAGAAAGAGCATTTGAAAATATGTTGATGTTTAGTTAACCATTCATGAACATACCGCAGAGAATTCCAATTCAAACTGTTTCAGGTCGGTTGGCCTTGCCCTGTTTTAGATCACCCAGAGTTTGTTTTAGGGTTCAATCCCGCTTTGAATTAGTTGAAAATCCTGCTAAAGCGATAGACGCTGTGTAAGAAGTTGAATGGGAAAGGAATCAAGCGGTTAGTCTTATCTATTATGCTAATATTTATTGTTAAAAATCATCCGATCCCTATGCCCAAAAACTTTACCAAAGGTCAAACAAAATTCCACTATCAAACTGGAATCCATTCGCTTTCCAAATCATAGAAACTAAATGCTGAATGTGGCGACCTCCAACATATTTCCACACCAAGGAATCGAAGCGTCCATAGCTGGAAAGGTTTGGTTTCCAACATATTTCCATGATTTYACAGCGAAAAAAATTCAGGTGTTAATCAGTATGAAGTGAAATCAGAATTAAGTCACGGAGAGGTCATTAAACTTTTAAATCTCTTTTTCGTCCTTTTTTATTTTTATTTACTAAAACATAAGGCAGGCGCGTTAAAATGAAGCTTATTAGAAATTCCTACCCATTTCTTACCAATCCAACCCCACATTTATTAGCGTTTTCCACGGATGACGTCACAATTGTTCATCATGGGATTGAAATGCGGACAAGCCAAGCCCAGCGTTGATGCTAACATGCTGTAACAATGTTTCGTAGTCTTATTATTTTAAATCAATCAGAAAATATTGTTTTTCGATGATTTTTCTGCCCCCCCCCCCCCCCGCTCCCGCCCCCATGTAATCAAGGCCTTTATTGGTAATATTTGTCGCGCTTTTCGATTCCACAAGACTTTGCAAAATCTATTTTCAGTGACCGTGAAAATGCTATTAACCACRTGTTAATCAGTGACTGAACAATATTAGTTCACATGCATCCAAACGACGACTGACAAACAAGCGTCTGGTTGCCAGGCAACATCAATTGTATGAAAAACATTTGGTGAGATGTTCTTCGACAATTCCCATGGCAACGTAATTTTCCAAATTTGGATCCATGCTTTTGTAATTGTATTTTTAACCGTTTTACTCTTGAAAATATAATGTTTTCTTGACGTGATATATTCTTTGTCTCGCGCGGGCCCCACCTCTTCATCTTCTTTATGGTATGACGTAATGATTGTCATTTTGTCTTCCAGCTTCGTATGTTCCTGTTACCCCATCTCCTGCTCCTCCAACATGCGCTACGGTAGATTGCCTACCGAACCAAACGTGCAAGATGTACAATGGCGTCCCCAAATGCATCAAAATCCCTGGCTCGGACTGCAACATTGCATGTACTCTTGAATTCAATCCTGTTTGTGGGTCTGATGGCAATACGTATTCCAACGCATGTGAACTGAAGGTTGCTGCATGTAAGGCTGGGACAGCGATCACCGTTGCTAGTCACGGTGCCTGCCCTGGTAAGTAAATCAAGTAGAGGGGGAGGGGAGGGTGCGGTTGTAAATTGGGACTCTTTCCTGTTAMTGCCTCCTGTCACATGCTCGTCTTTTCTTTCCTTTTTCTTGCGCTTTGTTGATTGCAATCTCTATCAGGCGTTATGTGTGGGTTTTGTTTCCTGTGACGAAATCAAAAAAGAGTAAAAAAGTAAAGAAACCAATGTTAAGTAGGAATCACACACACAAGACGTGCATAAAGACATTTCGACGATCAAGTACACCCATCAAATCTGAAAATCTTGAATAACATCGCGATCTCAAGCTCGTAATTTTTTTTCATCAATTGATCTAATCAACTTATTCACTTTTTTATCCGTTTTTTATTCGTTCGTTGTTTCATTTCTATCCTTTAATGTCTTACCCGTTATTTCTTTTTTCTTTAAATTTTTTGTCGTTCTTCATCAACATCAAAATTAAATGATGTGATTATAGATGTCCCAAATTAATGCCACGCTTTAAAACAATCGTTTGAAGGCGTTAGATTGTAACTCTGATATCTGCCATTGCTGGGTTTAACTTGACGTCATTTCCTGTCTCGTGCGGAATGTTCGTCAGCTAAATCGCAAGTTTTTAATAGAATTCTTTCTGGCTGACAGCACATGGTGGTCAGTGTTTGACCACCATTTGGAGCAGACAATGAGAYTCAAATACCTTTATCAGCTGATTGAAACCCAGCAATTAACATGTCATATTCGTATAGCTTTATATTTGTATAGCGTTTCTGCAGTATCTGCTTGACGACGTCATATTTTGAATAAGCCTAAGTATGTTAGACACATTTCAAGACCAAGTTCATAATTTTGCAACCTAGCTGTCCAACTCGACGTATTGGATATAATTAATCAAAATAAGTACTAACTTAAGCGGCGTTGCAACTTGGTTAGTAAATTTCTGACGTGCAGATTTATTTTAGTTTCGGAGACGTACGAAAATACCCCGAATCAAGGGTGGTGTAGTGGTAGTACACTCGCCTCTCTTCTCTAGGGTCTCAGGTTTGATTCCTCACTGGACATAGCATCGCATGTGAGTTAAATTTGTTAGATCTTTCCTTTAATTGGAAGGAGCTTTCCAGGTTCTTTGGTTTTCTTCCCTCTGAATTCTAATTCTGTGAGTTAGTCGTGCACGTGCCCTGACTTAGATC